GTGGTATTTTTATGAGTTTACTGATGGAACATTTATCAGAAATATTACTTCTTAATAACTTTTATATGAAGAACATAATATCAAAGTTGACAATAACTATGCATTTACGGCATATATTTAATCATTTTGAAATAAATTTGACCAAATTAGAATGAATAACCAAATTTGCTAGGGCATTTTGTAGCTGGGGCAGTTCCACTGGTACCCATGTGATAGATATCAAAATCAGTAAGAGATGTCACATGAGCTTGAAAATGTTTCGCTATGACGTTCTTTTCGGTTTGGAGCCCTAAATGCTGCAGACTACCCGAAACATTGCCGAATACAACGGCAAATCATGAAGTATTTGTTACTTTCATTGTTTTCCATTTTGTCTAATTACGCATGTTGGCATCAGACTCGCTATTTGTCAGTAGTGTGTGCCGTGAAAGTTGTTCTGTGTTCACATTGGCTGACAAGATGGCCGAGTACCATAACTATTTCCATAACCAAACACTGGGGAAACATACATTGTCCTGACAAGTATTTTATAATTTACCAGTTTTCAGGGAATAACTTATCTGCGTCGCGAATATTATCTCTGCCCGACCAGGCTGGAATTTTGTGTGGAGACTTGCTACGTTATTAATGAGAACTAGGGTCCTAATTTTTTTTTCAACAAAATAACTCATTTGACACAAAAGGAACTGCAATCACATTGCCAAAAACTTAATTCTTAGGGACTGGTCATATACTTATAGGGGTGGGTTTGCTGGTTGGAACTGTATCACATTTTGCTGTCAAATAGTATTTTTGTTAAATGATATGGTATATTTTAAAATTTATTTTGAACTCAAGCAGTGCCTCCATTTTGTTTGATTCTTCTTCTTCATCTTCACTGGAAGATTGTCTTGCAAGATGTAAAATCAGATCGTATTGATACGGTCTAACATCAATTTCAGAAATGACATCAGGAACACCTTTTACTGCTTCAGAATCCATGGACACTGTTAAAGAACAAACAAATTTTGTTTTTTCTTACTCTTTTAACTATTACATATGAAAGATTTGTGGTTAGACTTATGTGGAACACCAAATTCATTCTTAAAAAACTTGTGGTTAATTAATACTGAGCGATTAAAAGTTGCCAAAAAGTCGCCTGCTTCACTCTCGCCCGCCAACGAAACCACAGACAGGTTACGTAACACTGCAGTGACGTCATATGAGGAACGATTTTCAGTTAGTTGTATAGAAAGTGTGTAGCACGCTCATCATTTTGATGATTTCTCGACATCAACGATGACATGCAGAATCGTTGCTTTGTCGTCAATTGCTCCTAGGGGTCGGGTGATGGTGTCACCATGCACAGATTTCCACAGGACCCCGCAGTTCGTGCTAAATGGGTTATGTTTGTGAGTGCGAAGCGAGCGTTGTGGAAGCCTGAAACAATATCTTACTTGTGTTCAGATCGCTTCACGGAAGTTAAAGAATCAAAACTACTTACTAGTTGTAGCAAAATATGTATATGATTGATGACCATAAAGATTTTCCATGACACAACTTGTAACATAACGATTTCTTCCTCGAAGTGAGGTTGTGGTCGAAGTAACAATAATATTGTAAGTAGTATTATATTGACACCCACCTCGCTGCCACGAGAGAAATTGTTATAAGCTATGTCATGCAAAATCCTATTGGCCATCAATCAAATGCATATTTTACTACCAGTAGAAAGTAGTTTTGATTTTGTAACTCGGTGAAAACAAACCTAAATAGCATTTATCCTCAGACTGGCGGATGTTCGCGAAAATCGTAAAGTGACGGGCTAAAGTCTGTTAGAATTAATGAGATTATGGTTTGTTTTCATCAAGTTAGAAAATCAAAACTACTTTCTACTCGTAGTTAAATATGTATTGGAATCTTATCCAAAATGATTTTGCATGACACAACTTATAACATAACGATTTCTTCCATGGAAGCGAGGTTGGGGTCGAAGTCACAATACTGCGCGATAAATGTCTTGCTACATTCACATGGTTAACGTCCTCTCACCAGTATGTAGATACTTGTCAATGTACGTCTATATGTTTGGTCTTATAATCCTAATTAGTTTATTATCATAGTTGTATGCATTTTGAAACTTAATAAAAAGCAGACGATCTGCTGATACTAATAGTGAATTTATAACAGAACTGTAATATCTAGAAATTTTATAGTTTGCCAATGTGAATCATAATTCGCACACACACCCTAGTGTATGTTGTCTGTCTCATTACACTTCACGGCAAAAACAATGATTCTGTTGAATGCTATGACAAATGAATAAAAACAAAATGCAAATATTAAAATTAAAACAGATTAAAGTTATAGGAACAATGTCAGGCTATTACCTTGTTCGAGGAATGTATCCATCAATATCCACAAAAACGGGTGATATGCCATTCATCTGCAGCTGTTCCAAGTGATGTGTCTTTTAACAGTTTAATATCCGAAAAAGTGATAAATCTTTTCAGGTATTTCACATTGGTGTATAGTCTCATTGGTCACCCAAGATAGCACACCTGGCAACTAATTGCATAATGTCCGCCTTTTCTTTAAGAACAGTAATTTAGTTAGCCAATAATGGGCAATCAATCAATGTATTGGCGGTTAATCCTTTGAAAGATGGACATTGTTTTTACGCAGACACCGACATGACATGAGTGTATTCAGTATAGATTAGTAAATCTACATACATAAACACTACCTTTTGACAAATCCGCTGTGTAAGATAAAAGTAATTAATCAATCAGCGTGTTATCGGTTGATCCTTTGATCGATGTTTATAATGATGAATATTTACTCCAGACACAAGAAATGCCAAATGGGAACTTTTGTCGGGTTATCTATTATACCTGTTATAAATTCATTAACTGACCATCAAGTGAATGATGACAAATAAATGTGTAGGTTTATACCACCTAACACGGTTACAACAAGGGAGTATTAATTGCTGTATTGCATGTGAAAACTTATGGGCCGATTTTTACATGACATGACATGATTAAATATCGAGGTAAAAAAACACAGAAATGGGATCAATTTGGATCAGTCATTATACAAATAAGGCCTAACGACATCAAGCGATTTTGACAGAATCGTCTATGAAAACAAGTTGTAACTCGGAAACTAGGCAAAGCAGGAGACAAAATTAAATGACAGTAGATTGTAAGAACATATAGCTTTCATTTTCCCCAACAGCTGTCACGATTTCAGGTTCATACTTGCTTGTGGTGTCTTCTTGCCCTCAAACCACTGGAAACGAGACATTTGTTCACCGTTTCCCGAGAAATGTTTCCACCAGTCACTTGTTGCCATTGTTGACGGAGTTGATTTGCTGACATGAAGGGATTTCTTCGAGCCAAGACAGTAGATAACGGTCTTCCCTGGCAGTGGTCTTCCTTGGACAACCAGATCTGGGTCTATCATCATGTCTATGTTTCTGTACTTTGAAAGTAGCCTGATCACCACACTGTAATGGAGGTTAACAGCAGCTCCAATTTGACGTAAGGACATACCAGCATCACGCATCCAACAATTTTCCACCTAACAGCTGACGTGACACAAGTTCGAGCCATTCTGATGTTTCTGAATATCACTTTCCATTTCAAATTACAAGTGACAAAACCATGTAAAATGGCGGTGGCTCAAACGTGATGCAAACACATGGAAATCTCGTGCATGATCGTGAACATTGTGCATGTTTCGTGGAGAGTAATTGATGGTGCTACATTTCAGTAACAATTGTTTGGCTCAACAAAACACATTTCGTCAGTTATTCATCATAATATACAGGTGTTGCTTAAATTTTTACCATGAGTAGTTAAATCTTAAGGAGATAAGGTAATCTTAGAGCTGATTTTTTTGGGGTACAACGGCACCCTGGGCTCTATGAACAGGACCACAGAGCACCACAACTACCACTCTTTTGTATGGAATCATCCATCTACTACATCATTCTCCATGTTTCAGAGAGGGAATGCTGCACCAAATAACATGGACTTTTTTTTATATAACAGTATATACATGAAATATTCTGTCAAAAAAAAAAGGTAGAAAATTTGAAAATATGTGATGGAGTTTTGCTGATATTCAGACAAAATTAATATTTCATGTTGGAGAAGGTAGTGCGACACCATGTTTAAAACAACACTCCTGCTACAAGCCATCAAAATCAAAGCTAATTTTATATACCCCATCTGTAAGGCGACCCTGAAAGAAGCACATCATCAGAGCATACATGATCCCTAAATTTGAAATAAATACCTGTTTGTGTCACAATAGTTTCTTTCATACAATGATTGGCCATGTAGAATGTAGCATCATTTTGGTAAAGTTATGAAAATTTAATTTTATTATTGGTTACAGTTTTTGTTAATCTGTAGTTTATTTCAACACACCAATATAAATAGATACATATTTATAGAATATTTATAGATATGTACAGTTATTGTTTTAAGAAACTATACATCTAAAGTTAACTGTTATGCCAAATTTTGTTGGTAAATTTGAGATGATCCCTCTCCTGCTTTCTTCTGATGGCAGAGAATGTTTTGTTTTTTCTGTGTCAGCTGGCTTGGCAATTGTAATCGAGGTGAGAACGGAACCTTTTGACAGATTATAAGTTACCTTACTTCAAAACAGTTATTTCTATTTTGTTGCATTGTATCTATGGCTTCCAATGAATTAGCCACATGAGTGTTCAGAAACCTATACAGTGTTATCTCAATTGTGCATACTGTCAATAAAATTTTGATCAGAACAGCTTAAGTCAACAGCTCTGAAATAATCACTTTCTATTGATAGAGATTGAACTGATTCAGAACTGATTCAACCTCAAGAAACAGTTTATGTGATTACCACTGACACTTTTGTACAATAAAAATTTGGCGGAACCTTTGAAATTGCCTCCATCCATGTTTGAATTTGTGGACCAAGTAGAAAAAGAGCCATATTAATCCCATGTTGCCATTCTTATGTAGGAGGGTCTGAAGACTGATGTGAAGCGCCATCGTCATGATGCACGGCCCCTGATCCTTGAGCTTGACACTTGTGACAAAGCCACTCTCTCCAGACTCAAGTACTTCACCAGAAGTAAGCAGTGTACTATTATATACACGTCTTGAAAAAATATATAACAGTTTTAACACAAAGGACTGTGTCTATAGTAATAACATTTAATTGCACACACACTAAACGAGTACACAGACACATACTCATAACCAACAGAAACACCAAAAGAAAGCAATTGGTTACCTACTTTTATCAGAAAGTAACACCCATACATGTTCTCGTTAATGCAAAAACATGCATGTTTCATGCAAATAAATCTACATCTCATGCACAATATTTTCTACTTGCATATTCTGCATGCAAAGCATTTTGTGTTCTAGGTAGTTACATTTCTGAATTACTACCTTAATTCTAATGATACTGAAATGTAACATATATTCCATTTTGACATGGTAATGTTACCGAAACTTGGAATTGTCAGGTTTATAAATACCTCGCCAGATGGCATGCAAAACTGTGAACCGTGTATGACTTTGTGAAATTCATACCTTATATAGACTGATGGTGTAATTTGAGGCAACACCTGATTGAACATGCTGTAAATGAAACCATTCAAATGAATACATTGAATGAATAACAGTGTTCCCTGGCCTACATGTTCGTCTCTCCAGTTCAGAAAACAATATGCACATGAATCTGTCACAGCAACAGTTCAACAACCAACACCAATTTCAGAGTTGTCAAACTGTTGTTGACAACATGTGTTTGACGTGAAAAAAGCAAGTTTTACAACTTTTACATTTTTATCCCACCCGGCATGTAATGCGGTGGGATATAGTCGTCGCCTCGTCCGTCTGTCCGTCCGTAATCATTTTGTTTCCGGAGCATAACTCAAAGACCGTTTGATATTTTTCAACAAAAATTGGTAGATATGTCAAACATAACCTAAGGTGGTGCCTTTTGCTATTTACAGATTATTGTCATTTTTATTTTTCTCAGTTTCCATGGAAACGTTTTGGACTTAGTCATAAAGAAGGGTGGGCTTCGTTTCCGGGGCATAACTCAAAAACCGTTCAATATTTTTCAACAAGACCTGGTAGATATATCAAACAGATCCTAAAGTAGTGCCTTTTGCTATTTGCAGATTTTTGGCATTTTTATTTTTCCCGGTTTCCATGGAAATGATTCAGACTTAGTCCCAAAAGGAGGGGTGGGTTTCATTTCCGAGCACAACTCAAAAACTTCTTAATATTTTTCAGCAAAACTTGGCAGATATGTGAGGCAGATCCCAAACTCGTGCCTTTTGCTATTTGCAGATTTTTGTCATTTTTATTTTTCTTGGTTTCCATGGAAACGATCCAGACTTAGTCCCAAAAGGGCGGGGTAGGTTTCGTTTCCAGAGCACAACTCAAAAACTTCTTGATATCTTTCAGTAAACTTGGCAGAAATGTGAGGCAGATGCCAAAGTGGTGCCTTTTGCTATTTGCAGATATTTGTCATTTTTTCCATGATTTCCATGGAACGATTTGCACTTAGTCTAAAATCAAGCTGGACTGATTTGTTCAGATGATTTGTTCTTTCAAAGATGTGGGGGCTGGGGGGATATGTCATCTTCTGATGACTCTTGTTAACAATATGTGTTGTCAAACTTTAGTTTGCCGTGTGAAGGCCGCTTAACACACCCAGATGGAACAGCCAGTAGCACACCCAGATGGAACAACAAGTAACACACTGAGATCAAACAACCAGTAACACACCCAGATGAAATGATAATAATAATAAGGACCAGTCACTTCCCACTCGTAATCACCAAAATGTGATTCTTAAACAAAATATCAATATGAAATGTTGACTTTGCAATGAATTTACAGAGACTGTCCAACACCTTGTCAGTGGATGCCCTTCCTTGGCACAAACAGCATATCTTAAGAGACATGATGGCATGGCTCGTTGCTTTTACTACCATCTTCAGCCATGCCTTTGGCTTTGACTCTGAGGTCCATCCATGGTATGACCCTGAACATGTCCAGGGCGTCATGGAAAATGATGCTTTCAAACTTCTGTGAAATAGGCCCATATACAGTCTGAGAAGAATTCCAGCCAACAAACCTGATCTTGTCCTTTTTGATAAAGCCAATGAATATATTTACATCATTGAATTTTCTGTTCTTTTTAACAGCAATGTGATTGGCAAGATTCAGGAAAAGCATGATAAATATGCAGACCTCGCCTTTGAAATGTCTCGCTTGCATCCCAAGTACACTGTCGTCAGACTCCCCATTGTTCTTGGTGCCCTAGGTTTGGTACCTCCTGATCTCTTGGCGCAGATGAGGAGAGTGCCCGGGTTCTCCACCGGGAGCACAGCCCTTCTGACACTCTGGGTAATGCAGAAGGCTGCAGTGTTGGGGAGTCTACATATTATCCAGAAAGTTCTTGGTGGGTTCGACTAGGCAGCGTTTCCTAAGAGAAGTCCCATTCAGCTGTCTGGGCTGCGTGTTGAGAGGACAAGGGCCCTGAGCTGATGATGAGCCTTACAAGCCTGACTGTGCCAGGATCACCCAAACCCTCTCTGCTGCATACTATTTTTAATCTGTCAAACATAATAATAATTAACTATAACCTTGAGGCAACATGGGTCTGTGATGATGACCATGCAATGCATGAGAAAATAACTGGGTCTCACCAGATTGCCTGAAAAGTGTTATAAAAAAGTCCAAATCTAATACAGCTCCAGGGCCTGTTGGCATTCGAAACTGGTTATGGAAACTGTTCCCCTGTGTTCAAACACCATTACATCACTGCTTAAATTCTCTGGTGGACACAGGTGTTGTTCCTCCATGGTTCTGCAAAGGTCGCACAATACTCCTTCCCCAAAAAGGAGACTTGAGTAGTATAGGGAATGGCGGTTCTATTACAGGTCCCCTATAAGCATTATTTTGTCAAACTCCAGCCTCTGTCAGAGTGAAAATTTAGGCATGAATGATGGCGGGCCATCATTCGCCATCCATGCAAAACGTTCCTCTTTCAGAGATAAGATATTGTTAGAAGTATAACGAAAAAATGAACATGCAAGAAAAATTGAGATACCAGAGTTTATCATTGGATTGGTATATGGAATAGTACATAATATGGATTCCTGAGAGCTAAGCATACCGAGAAAGTATTGGTGATAGCGGGAAGAGAGACAGATATTCTGGGTTGTTGCAAGTGGGCAGGGGAAAGATCCAGTAGAGTTGTGTTTAATCCTCTCAATGCTACTGTCGAACCCATTCGACAGGACAGCAGCATAATGACATCCCCAGATAAAACTTGCAATAATTATTCAACAAGTCGGATTTACGTGTCATTTGAATTATGTATGGAGTGCATTAATTCTAAGCTTTCTAAATATATAATCTTCAATTATTTTATGTACCTTAAAACGAAATGCCCGCAAATTAAAAATTTGTTCTCCAAATTTCTCCGCACACAGCCACAAATAACGGCCATTGTTGACTTCGTGCACATCATGTCAACTGGTCCCCAGTCTAATATTTTCTTCATAATGAAATATGTTTTTCAAAATTTGATCAATATTGTTGTTCTTTGGTGAAGAGAAAACACTGAAGTTTCATATTTTCTAAAAATTAATAACTTTCGGTTTAATTAGTTATGAACAAAAACAATCTCAATGTTACATTACCGATTGGATGAAATAAGAACTATCATGGCAACAATGGTAAACAAACAACTCCACATGCATCGTGATACCGAAAAAATTGTGCCATACTTTTGATAGATCCAATTATTTTCGCTGGAATTAATTACATGGTCTGATTCGGTATCTGTTGTTGTCTTTGCAAAAAAATTTATCATATTTATCGAGTTTATAATGATTTTGTTTGATAAACCTTCAGACACTGACTTTGTTGACAGCCATGGGTGACTCGTAAGGGCGTGTCCAAACTCGGGGTTTTTTAGGTGACAAGACACGAAGGGTGTTAGAAAATATGCGTTCAGAATCAGAATCTTAACTCATATACATTCTAAGAAAACTATTCAATACCTAAATAATACAGATCATGAAAAATAATCGAAATATTTGTAATTGTACCCACCCTTGATGAAACCGGAAGCATTTATGGCATGGCACCCGTGGAGGTAAAACATGCACGAGTTGGAAAACGACCTTTGATACATTTCTAAATTGATTCAAAATTCCCGTAAAATCAAAAATCTATGGTAGAATTAACTTATTAAACACCTTCAATGGGTTACTGTTAGCAGTTATCAACTGTAGTTGTCATTTTTTCTTTTGTTGTATATTTTTTCGCCTTAATATTGCCGCCGGTGCGTAGATCTTTATTTTTATAAATTCAAAGTCGTAATGGATCTCATGGTCGATGATTTTCAAATAATGTTCTGACACGGGGAGATATTATGAAATGTCAGTATTGTTTCCGTGGGGTTTTTTTAGTACAAAAGACACAATAGAGTTGGTACTTCATGGGTTTACTGCCATGCTTTTTGGCGACCGGAAAACGTGGACAGGGGCTCGCGCATGCGTGATGCATCAAGCGTAATGCACTAACATAGTGATGCACTAAAGTGATATTTCTACTATCGCAACATCTTCCCTTTTAAACACACCAAAAAAATAAAAATTATTAAAAACTGATAACAGAAATGAGTCCATCTGACTTTCTAAAAATAAAATACAATTCTTATCTTCGATGAAGAGGATAAGAATTTAAAACAATAACAGTCTGTGCATCTCTGCTACTTATTGGGCAACCGACACAACATAGTCTTGGAGGTGTGATGGTAGACGTGACTCACGCCCACTTCTGGTCACTCTGGGTGTCACATCATTACACTTGGGAGTGGATGGTGAAGGAGATAGTGGTCTCTGTGATGTTGGTGGTATCATGGTTTGGACACCGTCTGACTGGATTGCTGGTGCACTAGAAGATTCAACATATGGGAGTGGTACTTTCCTCAGTTGTCATCTGTTTCTTGTTAAGATGTGACCCTTGTCTGTTTCTAGTTCATATGATCGGATGTTCACTTGTTTGCTAATAGTTCCTTTCTTCCATTCCGTA